TGACTTCATAAGATCACAATTTAATATTTAAAAACTGATTATGAACCTAAAATATATTTTTTAAATTATTTAAGTAAATTCCAATGGCTGCCTTTTCTAATGATTAAGGACCTGTCAGAACAGTATGAAACAGTACTAAGTCTCTTGATTACTACAGTATTAGCTTCCTATAGACTGGCTCAGCTCAACATAATCAGTTAAGCAACAGCCTTAAAGAAGACAAATTTTAAAATGAACATCCCTTTAATAAAAACACAAAAAACCTTCAGTCCCAGGACAGCAGCACCTACAAATAAAACATATTTGCTTTTCTGCAGGCCGTAGACAGGGATGGCATATTTTCTCTTTCAATTCCAAGTCTTTCCCTCAAATCAAAGGGAAACCAGTTGTGTGAAATTCCAGTCATGTCTACAATTTATAAATGAGGAACAAAAGGAATTATAGAGTAATGGAGTGATCCAATAGCTCAAAAAAATTTCAGTCACATAAAACAAAAATGGTTCTGCCTAAAGAACTAACAGGATTAGTTAAAAAAACAAACAAACAAAAAAACCCTCAACAGCTGCTAAATTTTCTCAGCTGATATTATGAAAGATATTTGAGGCTACAGTCCAAATGGACCCAGTTGTGAGTCCCTATCTCTGTTCTTTTAAATCACACAAGAATTTTTGACCACAGGAAAGACTGGGTCAAAATAATGGGGTGGGATGACAGCAAACCCAAGACCTGCATGAAGGCAGGAGGAGTAATTCAAAAGTAAAATTTTTGTGCCAGTTAGCTCAAAAGTCATATTTTAGTGGAGTTACTGAATATCTCTTAGATTGTTCTCATATCTTTAGGAATGAACAAGAAACTATTAGAATCATTTGAAAAAACATATCTAAGTAAGGATTAGTCATGTAAATGCAATATTAGCTCCTGATGGGTCCACATGTTGTATGGCAGGTCTTAGATTTCTCTAATCAGAAGTCAAAATGTTGATTCCCTTAAGGTAAAAGTCATACAGTACAAATGAGTTAGTCAAAATAACTCTAAAAGAACTTCTGGAACATTTTCATAGCAATTTATACTATAAATAAATAAATAAATAATTTGAAAATCAGCTGAAATGAGAATACGAATATTTTCTTTCCCACCTGAAAATTCACTCTAAGAAAGATCACAAAGAACTAAAAACAAGGAAGTTTGCAGCACTATAATGACCAGGTGTTATTGTGGTTTGGTGTGACTGAGCTGCAACGTTTGCTGCAGCTTCCTGCACTGCACTGTCTGTCGCTTCCCCCCCACCCCCCAAGCAACTGAAGAGAAATGAGATGTTTCTCTTCTAAGGTGTTAAACATTTGGGTTGCAGGAGGGACAAATGGAAGTTTGACACCTAAAGTGATGAGACCACTGTGCATTAGACCAATGGGAACTTTCACTACGTTAAAGCCAGCCAAGCTCTCTGTTCACACAGTGTTCAAGCACACAATTGCCAGGACCAAACTAGGGATGTAAAAAACTATTTTTTTCTTTCGTTACTTTACCATTGGCCTTCAGAGATTTTCATAAGTAAGTTTTCAGAGAAAGAAAGGTTTGGGAGAACACTTTTAATAAACTCTCCAGGGTCCTTGCTCTGAAATATTTAACAAGCTTCTTTCTGCATCTTCTTCTCACTCTCTGTGAAGAAGACCAACTCAAACCAAGGTTTGCTGTGCCTTAAGAGCTCACACTGACACCAAATATATGATGATGGGTGCTTTCTTCTCAGGCCCAATTTATCTGAACTTAGAATTCTTATTTAAAACTCTGTCAGAGACCCATTCATAAAATTTCTGGTTCCGACACCCACATTCCTAAGAATTCCAGTTCTGGAAAAATGTGATATGCCAACTAAAATCTCCCTTCAGAAGGAAGAAAAGCTGGATTGGTGAAGGTGGTTCTCCTGAATAGAGAATACTGCACTTGCTCACAGGTAAAAGCTCTGCAAGCCTACGTATGCCAGTGTCTGTCTAAAAAAGCACAAAAGCATATAGAATTGTTAAAATGGGATTCCAGCAGAAACATTTCTGTATGTGCCCGTTGGCCATAGCTGGTATTATTGTAATTACCTGCAGTTACATTTAAACAGAAGATTCTAGGTAGGGAAGGGGTGGCCAGGGCCCTCTCCCAACCCAGATGCTTTCCATTCTTATCATGCTGGGCAGCAGATGCAGTAAACAAGCAATTGTTTGTAATGCAAATTCAAGTAACAGAATGCCACCGGTGATGCTCCCATCCTAAACCCAAACACAAATGGTCACTCCGCGCCTGACACCCTAGATGAAAATCTATTATTGTGGATGTCAGTGACACAAACACTCAGTACTGCTAAGGACAGAGTTAAAGAGCAAGAAGGCAGAAGTGTGATTGGGGGTGGGGAAGAAAGGCTGCCTTCCGGTTAGTGTTTTTGATCTTAGACACATTAAAAACAGCTGTTAGGTATTAAAAACCAAATCACTTCGGTTGGACCCTTAAAAAAAAAAATCTGACACAGCCTTGTGGTTAAAACTGAAAAGCTTCTGGAATTGTGCAAACTGCAGAATATCTCAAGAAAACATGCCTACAATAAACATGTTCTAATACATAGCAGAATAAAGCAAAGCAGCAGATAAAAGGATAAAGTAACTGACTATGCCCCTTTCTTCCACTCTATACCCACCAACATTATCCTGGCCACAAATCATTTCTAAACAATGAGTGACTGTTTGATTCCCTAACCTCAAAATTTTACTACATACACTAACAATAAATACCTTCCATTCTACCAAAATTTCAATATGATTAGTACACCGGGATGTTGGGAGAAAAGTCTGTGGAGATATAAAGCAGAATGTTGGCTTAAAGAGGAAGAGAAGCTTAATTTTCAATATTCTTAGGGACTGTTTATAAATACCAATAAATTTTTATTATATTGACTTTTTAAAAATTCTTGTTTTGAAAGAAGTGACTGATCTCTCTAAAAAAAATTCTACAAATACTGACAAATTTCTAAATACATTAACTGTATGCACAGCTGAAAGTGTAAGACTGTTTTAGTGGCTGTTTTCTATTGTTACCAAGACTATAATTTAATATGGAAAGATTACTTGTTGTTCTAAAAAGCTTTTCAACAGAAATCTTCAATTATTTCTTATCTAAAACATTCTCCTTCTCCTCTGCACCCCCCAGCCAAAAAATAAAAAAGCCCAACTATAAAAGAAATATGTGATATAGGTGGGGTCTTCAAAAAGTTCACAGAAAGATTTGCATTACCTTTCATTTTTTTCCATAAAAATGTGAAGTTACCCTTGTATTATATTTGCATAATTACCTCAACAAATACAAAGTCTCCCACAGGTTTTAGAACACTGAAGCATTTATTTGGGGTGGTCTCTAAATATCAAACCATATTTGCTTTTATTAATTCATTCACTTTTTAGGTAAAAGATTCATATGTACCACATAGACATCACTATCATTAAATGTTTGAAAAGCCTTTTAAAATAAAATATGAAATAGGTATTTCCTATGGCAATCATCACAAGATTTTCAAGTTTAGATCCCCAAGATCTACATTTTAGCTGCTATATAAAAATTACAAAAATCATTTTCCCTACCTGAGAGGTCAAATATCCTTTTGAAGTTTGTGGAAAAATAATTACAACTGCTAAATCACAGTGCCCAAAGTGATTATATTTCATACACCTATCATTTCAACAATTGAGGGCTACAGATAATCAAGATAACCACAAATACTCTTGTTGATAACTGCTGATTACAAGCCATTCCTCACTGCTACTTTGGTGAAGCTTCTTGCTCCCAGATTCTGTTCGCTGAGGCATTAATGACAGCACTTTTCCAAGATGTTTGTGAACGACTTTCTTCAGCTGGTAGTAGTACTAGACAAAGAAGGCAAAGACCATTCTACTATCCTAGATTTGACCCCCTGACGGACCAGTGAGACTGAAACCCTAATCCCTGAGACCCATACATATGCATTTTTCATTGGGGGTTGGGTGGTGGAGGGTGGGGCTAGAGAGACAGTAAATATATTGATGGATTAATAAAAATCCAGCACCGCTGCTGGAAGGATAATTCAAAGGGAGAACTCTATCACCAGCACATTTCATGTTCACATCTTATACAAGTTACCATTTAGATGTTTTCTCAGTATACAAATGAGGTTTCCACTTCCCAAGGAAAGAGAAATATCAAGAAATTCTTCATAATGTTATGCATTTGAAAAATGCAGTTACAATGCCACTGCATTTTTAGAACTTTAAAAGTTAACTGAACCAATAGATAAAAAAAGAACAACTTTCATTAGGATTATCTTCAAGTGATAATTCCTTAACAATTGACAATAAAGTAAAAATAGCTCATTCCTCCATCCTCCCAACACATGTTCTTAAAGAAATATTAGGTAATACAATAAGATGAGACACTGTTTTAAAAGCTGAAGTAACATTCTGAATGTTCAGTTCTAAATGAGTTGAAGCAATTCTGATTTCGGATAGCTTGTGGGCATCAAAAGCTATACAGTACTTAGGGCCGGCCTGTGGCTCACTCGGGAGGGCGTGGTGCTGACAACACCAAGTCAAGGGTTGGGATCCCCTTACCGGTCATCTTTTAATTAAAAAAAAAAAAAAAGCTATACAGTACTTAGTAAACTGAAAAATTATATCAGTTTTCTCCATTCATTAGCGTAGAAAGCACAATATTCATAAAATCATGGATCTGCTGATTTAACTTCATTTGATTTTGTTATAATTTATGATGTATTATTTATTAATCCTAACCAATAAGCCAAAAGCTAAAATTCTAGGTGCAACACATCAAAGGTAGCATGGGTGGACATTCCTTATACCAGCTCTTATTTAGCAATGACTGTTCATATGCAATGAAAGCATTTCCAATGTGTTTGCAAATATAAACATTCTGCCAAATACAAACTAATTTACACTTCTAAAAATAATTTGCAACATCAGCATGTTACTCACTGTTCTCGGGATGGGTGGAGAAAGAGATCCATTTGACATGTATGGGTCGTTATTCATATTTGGCATCATTATGTACCCAGAATAACTCGAGTAGGAGGGTCCCTTATTGTACAGGCCTCCATCTGGATGCTTTCCTGAGAGAATCCAAAGAATAATCAATGATGCACTGACTTCCCTTTTATATCATTGTATTTTTCATCTGAAAACCTAATAGTTCTTTTTTTCCTCTTTTTTTTTTTGAAAACCTAATAGTTCTAAGACAAGTCAGACCTTACATAAAAGATTTGTTTACAAAATACTGTAACTGGATTGTTATGCTCTATTTTAGATTGACAGTATGTATTCTCTTATGGCTTAGCAGAGAACCAGATGTTTTAAAAACATGTGGTTCAATTTACTTCCCCTACTGACTGATGTTTTTACAAAAATAAGTGTTATCCATCTAACTTAATTTGTTCTAATACTAACAAACTGAACTATGAAATACAGACATGTGAAGGAACACATACAAAACCTAAAGTTATAATATAAATATATTAGATCACTTATCTATACAAACATATTCATACGTTCGAAGTTATGCTTCACCTTTTAGGCAAACTCAAAAATTCTACTGGTGCTTCAAGAGTTCTAGAAAATTTCTAGATTTTACTGAGGGAGAGAGCTGTATCTAGTATATGGGCAACTACCCAAATTTATAAAGGATCAACTCTGGAAGGCTTAATTTTATGTGCTACACTTACATGATTCTGCCAAAGAAATTTGTGTTTTCAGTATATACATTTCTTCTCTTTAACCTGTGTAACTACTTTGTAGCTGAGAAAGAAGCCTGGTATATAGTTCTCTTCCCTTCCTCTTCTGGTTGACATATTGTATGCACCAAACACTTCATTCTGGGCTGGCCAACAGTTAAGTTATTAAAGAACAGAAATGTAGACTGGTTGGCAAGAAAACCCTACAGGTTACTTAATTCTTTTAGTCACAAGACGTTCTCCTTAAACTAAAAGTATAGATATAATTTTTAAAGCTTTTAGCAAGAATCAAAAATGTGGAGAAAGTATATCATCTTCGATATGCGTAGTTCTTAATTACAAGAATAAGTTTTACATTTTTAGAAGCTAGAGTCTGCTTTACTGAGCCATGTTTAGTCTGTTCATTCACTGCTTGCCTATTCACTGTAACAAGAAACAAGAAAGAGCAATTTTGCAAACAAAAATCTATTCAAAACTATTCTTGTTGGAAAAAAAAATCCATGTAGACTGTCATCTTTCATAATGCAGGTACTAAAGACCTAAGCTAATTAGAACTTTAAGTAAAATGAGGAAAAAAGAAAAACTCATTATACGCATGGCCTCTTTCACAAAGAATCTAGAAGCCAAGTGAAATCCAAAGGCCCCTAACTCATTCAAAGGCAGTTTTTAAGTTATGTAATATACATTAGAGATCAGCAGTAAATTTCCTGGGTTTTCTTTCTCATTTTGGTAAATAGTGGGTACAGTCATCACATCTGGCCCCAGTTCCTTGAACTCAAATAAAAGTAGCAAAACATACCTATATATGCAAATGGTACATGTTGTATGATAAAGTTGGGGGAAGTAGAATCAGCCTCTTACCGTCATCAGGATGTTCTCTGGCCTTGTCGTGGTAGGACTCCTGGGAGGTTTGTGCTTGTCTGGCCACCTAACAGCATGAATCCCCACCCCCAAAAGAAAGAAAATTACCTTAGAGATTATGATAATAATAATGATGTAAGTGTGTGTTCACTGGTAATGCAAATGAAGAAGATTAGTTGTAACTCAATCTATCTGTTTTATTAATCTAAGAGGGTTAGGCTGGGGTTGAGTACTTGAAATCTTTTTCAACTCGTATTTTTGAGTGATTATTATCCACGCAGACCAAAAAGTATAAATAACAACAACAACAACAAAAAAAAAAACATAGTAAATTTGAGAATGAGCCACATGCTATTCTTACTGCTGTTTACGGAAACATAACAAGGCTACCTTGATGCCAAATGTGATAGGAGTTGGAGTTAATGGGCTTGTTTTGAAAGCCTCTTCAACCACACTGTTCACTTCAATCAGATCTGATTAAAAGCGGGCTGAAATATCATTTTGCAACTGAAAATGACATTTTAAACATAAACAAGCCAACCACTCAAATGGGGTCTTAAGGTAACTGCCCTGAGTGCAGTCCTGGCAAGAGCTCCACTCGGGCTTACAACCTACCCTGGCTGAGCGCAGGCTTGTAAGAGAAAAGTAGAACTGTTCTGCGGTTAAAGAGAGAAAAATTTGAGTCGGGTTGTAGACATCTGAAAGGTAGCCCAGTTAATATCAGCTCTGGTAACCACCATCCACCCAGGCTCAACCACGTGCAAATCAGTGGTATTACCCCTTCACTATCTTCCTTGGGTCTGCCCGTGCCCATGCCCACTTACCACCGTGGCAAAGATTAACAGTCCTAATACCTAGGTTCTCGGTTTCGAACAGACCAGAAAAGATATTAATGTGAAACTGGCGGCAAATTTATTTATGGACTAAGGAAGGACAAGCAAAATGGGTAGAAAGAAAAAGAGTCTGCTTTACAAATATGAGTGTCTGGCAAAAAGCTGAGTGTTTTGGATGTTATTCGGTTCCTAGGACGTGTGTCCTCCCCTAGTGCACACATAGTCACAAATCTTTAATGTGGTGTTGGATGGCGTTCCCCACCTTCCCCTGAAATCGGATTCAGCGGATAGAGAACCCTGATGTACTCTTCAGGACTCGGCCCCAAGTCTCCCAAAATGCGTACTCACCCCTGCCATTGGGATAGAGAAGGTAAGTCTGAGGTGTTCTCAAACGTGTTGTTTAAAGCCCAGAATGTCCCCGCCCCCAAACCACACGCTTTCTTTCTGGGGGCAAAAGGATGCCATTTAAGGAAAAAGTGTATGCCCTCCAAGTTTCTTTGGAGGGAAAAAGCGTTGAACTCATTTGGGTGTCAGGACTTTTTTTTTTTACCGGATTTCCTCCAAAGGGTTTCCCAGTTGTTGAGCATGGGTGGCCAGTGGAGTGTCGGATATCGGGGTGCATCCGCCCCCGCTCCCCACACCCCAAGTTCTCGGCGCGGCCTGAAATAGCCCTCCCGCGCGGTCAGGCTCGCGGCTTTCCCTAGCCGGCACCCACGTGTCTCTATTTACTCTACTCAGGTTACCAGCACCATCGCCCGCAGCGGACCAGGACATCTGACAAAGCGCTTTCCACCCTCCCGGACTGCGGCCCGCCTTCCGCCGCTTCTCCGCTCAGACTCGTCTTTCTGCTACTTAGATTGAAGGCCTGACCCGGGACCAAACTAACCCTAAGTAAAGACGCTTTTTTTCCCCTTCTTCTTCTTTAAGTGATGGGGGTTAGAGAAAACGAGCCGTGGGCAGTACAGCGAGGCTGTACCCCTGGGTGGCGCGACGCGCCCACGGCTCCCGGCACAGCGCTGGGGCTAGGGCGGCCTCAGGGACACAGCCCTGCGCCTCCCCCGCAGCCCCGGAGCGCGCACCCCGGCCGGCTGGCTCGGCGCGGGCCCCATTCGGCGGCGGTTGGGGACGGCTCTGTCTGCCCCCAGCCCACGTCCGCCTCCCCTTCCTCCCGCCTCTGGCTTTGCTCGTCTCCAACTAAGCCTTTGGTGGTTTAACGCACTTTTGCAGAAACATCTACCGAGAGATAGCGAGTGCACTCTGTTTTCCGTCCTGCGGAAGAACTTTTCAGTAGCGTTGTTCAAACATCGCTTTAAAGCATCGCACCCCTCAGCCCCACAAAAACGTCCCAGGCGAAACGTTATGGGTTAAGGGTAGCTTTTCCTGCCCGCAAACCAACCGTTTAGCCACCAAACCCCTGAACTGATCCACTTGGAATAAGTCTCCCTGCCCACCCCTCCACCTCTCATCCTACACACACACACGCACGCACACACCGCGGGAATGTTGACCAGGGGCCCAGTCACCCCCCCCCCCAACAAACGAGGTGCCTACTCTGGACCCGTCATCTGGGGCTCCCCGGCGCCTTCGCTCCCCTCCTCCCTATCTGTGCATCGGAGACTCGCCACGCCTCTCGGCTAGGGACAGCAGCCCGCTCACCTCGTGTCCGTTGCTGGCCGGGATGATTTCAGACTCATTAACCAAGGAGGACTTGATGTCGGCTAAGTCACCTTCCTCTTCAGGGTGACTAATCTCGGCGAAGATCTTCTCCTTCTGGGGGTCGCCCTCGTCCTTGAAGGGGATCATCTCGTCGGTGGCGCAGAGTTCCGGGTCCCCGCCGCCGCCGCCACCTCCCCCGGAGAGTTGGGGCATCCCGAAGGCTTTGTAATCTCCGCTCCGCTGTGGAAGCACCCGCGACGACAGCAAGGGAGAGAGGGGGATCAAAGCGAGGGGAGTGGGGGGAGAGAAAAGGAGACTTGGAAGGATGCGTGAGGGAGGAGAGCGGGCGGAAGCGGGTCGGGCGAGAGCTGAGCCGCCGGCCGGCAGCCGGAGCAGCTGCGGCGGCGCCCGAGCCCCAGTGACCGCCCGCGCTTTCTCGCTTCGCCGAGACCGACGTCGGTGCCCGCCCCCAAGGCCGAAGGGCACCGGGCTGCAAGGGCTAAATCAGCTGGCGCCTCTGGAGACGTCTGCGCCTCCCGGCGCGCGCTAGGCTAGGCTGCCCCGGCTCAGGGGGCCACCCCATGTATGCTATACGAAGTTATTACGACCGGGCTGCAAGGGCTAAATCAGCTGGCGCCTCTGGAGACGTCTGCGCCTCCCGGCGCGCGCTAGGCTAGGCTGCCCCGGCTCAGGGGGCCACCCCACGCCCCCCGCGTTGCCGGGGTCTGTGCGCGGAGGACACGGGTTCTGGAGGGGGCACGACTCTCCGAAGTGCAGAGCAGGGTCCAGCGGCGCGTCTCCGCGCAAACCTCTCCACCACCGTAGCTTTCCCGAATGCCGATGTAGGAGTTTGTTTTCCGAAAAAAGAGAAGGGAGGGGGCAAAAAGGCTCCGTTTGCCCCAGCGGAGAAGGTGCAAGAAGAATCAGGAGATAACGAAATGTCTACTTCCTTAAGAGTAAAAATAAAAGTAATAATAATAATAATAAAGAGCCACCGGCCTGGAGATATCCGTTTAAGTCCGTTTATTTCCTTCCCTTTCGCTTCGGTTTTCCTTCTCCAGGCGCATTTAATCTGCTGGAGGAGGAGGGGAAGGTGGGGGCGGAGAAGGAGGGAAAAGAAAGAAGAAGTTTGCCAAGAATAAAGTTTGTGCCGGCGAGCGCTGAAAATCGGCCGTGGAGGGCTCGACGGGGTCTTGGGAGTCACAGCAGAGGCCTCGGGCCCAAATGCTTCTGCCCACAGCTCGAGCCGACAACACACACGCAGCTCGACCCCTCTTTGTTCCCGGCTCGAGTTTGTCAGCCCGGCTCTCTCGCTCGCCGCTCTCCACGCCTCTGCCGGCCCGCTCTGTCAAAGCAAAGAGCTGCGCCCCTCGGGTTCGCCCAGCCGAGGGGAGGGGACGCCTGAAGCTTGGCCGCGTGCGAGACTCAGGGCGCGTCCTGGCTCCTCGGCCCGAGAGCGCGCAGCCCGGGTCCCTCCTCCGCGCCCTTCCCCGCAGGTGAGCGGCTGCGCCTCCCCGCCGCTTCTCCTCCTCCCGCGCCTCGCCGGCGCTGAAAAGCTACCCACTTGCGTCGCTTCTCCTCCCCCGCCCCTCCCCCGCCTCCAGCTCTCCTTGGCTGCCCGCTGGAGGGGCGGGGGTGGGGGGGAGTTGACGAGAAGGAGGTGGTGATTGAGGGCTTTTTTTTTTCTTTTTCTTTTCCCAGAGCCTGTAGGACGAGTCCTAGTTTTGGGGTGAGTGAGTGAGTGTGTGTGTGTGTGTGTGTGTGTGTGCGCGCGCGCGCGCCGGAGGGAAGGATCAGGCAACTACTTAGCGAGAGAAGGAAGGACCCGGCGCTGCTTGTAACCCACCGAGAGGCACGCTTTGCCCGCGTGAAACTGACAAGTAGCACTGCCGGAATGGCTTAACTTCTTCATCTAAGTATCTCTTCTCTTGCCCCGCACCCCCCACCCCCACCCACTTCTCTTCCTCTGCCAGTCTCTCCCCCACCTCCTTTCCGCCTCCCACTCTCCCTCCCTCGCTCAGGCAGGGGGAGGAAGATGAAAGAGAAAGCCGCCGCCGCTGAGATCAACACCACATTGATAGATGCTCTGACAGAGGGGATGAGGCGGGAATCGGGGACTGGGAAGGAAAAGAAGAAAATATAACAGACATTGTTCAATAAAAGAGAACAGCAGCAAGAAGGAAAAGGAAAAGAGTTGTGGCTTTCCTAAATATCACACACACACGCTCTTTGGATACAAGGGACAAGGGAGCACACACTAGCGAAAATAAAATCTTCAGGCTTACCGAGAAAAATAGGATGAGGAAGAAGGAACTGGAGACTGAATCTTAATTGTCGCTTTTAAAATAATATATCTTTCATTACGTCTTCACGGGATGTACGCAGAGAGTTACCCTAGATCTCGCCTGTGTTTTCGGAGATACACGCCGCAGGACGTGGGAACCTAGTAGAGAATGAAAAGACAACCCAAGGAGGAGGAAAAGAAGGCGAAAGGACCCAGGAGAGCAAAGCCAGAGAGGGAGGGAGGACAGGGCAGTCCCTGGCACCTTGGTCTGCTTGCTGAAAGGGACCCTTGAAGATGCAAATCCTCAAAAATTCCCCAGTCTCCACCGTCTCTTAGATTCATTTTGTACAAGGACAGGACTTTTAAGGAGATGCTTTGTGAAAGTCACATACAATATAAGAGAAGCTGAAGCTTGAAAACCTGTTACATTTTGTTCCTTGGTTCTCAAACCCTGTCAGTTAAAAATCCAGGCAAAATTATTATACCCAATACAGTAGCCATGTGTAAAACTCCAGAACAGAAAACGGGGGGCGGGATGAAATGTATCTCCATCTCCCTTAAATTGAAAATAAAGAAAACACTGCAGAATCAGACTTTGGCTCTATTATATAAGAATGGTCAGGCAAAGATCACTCTTCTTTTCCTAAGGGTGAAATTGCAGGGTGCTGGACATTGTGTAAGTGAAGACTTTAACAGTGCTCTAAATGAGCACTTAAGACTTCGCCTACTGACAACTACTACTTCTTGAGGATGGGAATTAACTAGGAAACAATTTTAGAAATTATATCATTTAAAGGGTTCAGTTGGTCCCATAGAACATGGCCAGTAGTCACATGTAAATTCCATCTGAGAGATTGTGGTAAAATTAAGGGGCTGGTGAGGAGATCCAGGCAAAGAAAAACATTAAGTACACTTTAGGGACAATACTATGCCTTAGAGAATTAAAACAAAAAGAATATTCTGCTACAGTGTGTCTGTAAGGCAATAATAAAAAGGTTGGAAATTTTTGTTTTTTGGATGGTGGTGTTGTGCAACTTCCCTTGAAGTTAGGCACCAAAGTGAGTGAATGTCCCAGAGATGTGAACATGTAGCTGTGTCAGATATTTATAACCCCTGTTCTAAAAGAACAGGAAAACAAAGCCAAAAGTCCTATAGCTGTGCCAATTTGACCCATAGGAAGAGAACTGGAAAATGCAATTTCACCAAAGCAGCCAGAGTAGATGTTCCTTTCCATCAAACTTTCCAGGAGGGTGAGGGGAGCACAGAGAACTGGCCAAAGGTTATTTTCTCCAAGCCAAGGAAAGATTAGATGACGACTCCTACATTCCCACCCCCGCCTCCGTTTAAGTATTGCAACTAATTCGAATCCCACTTTCTCCATGTTTATTATCTGGACTACCCGAGTCTTTTGGAGCTCAGCTCCAAGTGTCCTGGAGATTAGGAATTGGAGAAGATGGGAATTTTTGGAACAAAAACTAGTGGGAACTGTTCACTAGAAGGGCCAAGGGTAGGTGGCTGCGTTTGGTATTTTGCTGTAACCCTCTCCCTTGGAAACATTGTTTCCAACGAAATCATCCAGCGATTTGCTCCATTTGCGTGGCTGTTTGTCCTCCGGGCGGTGTGTGTAGTGCTGATTGTCTTAGTATTGTTGCAAATCTTCTGATGGGCTGCCCTTAAAGGGGCGCCGAAAAATTTGTCTAAAACCATAAACCCAATTTTTTTTAAAGCTTTGTCTGGGAGAGAGGTTGACATTTTCACGTGAAGTCGTCTCTTTTCAGGGAAAAAGCAGGGAGACGAAGCAGGAGGGGTCAAGTAACCCCGGGAAGACGTTCCTCCCTCCCTACAGGTTGGGTGTAGTTCCTAGCAAAGGCATTTCTGTCGCCAGGAGGTCTCTTCTAATTCGGGTGGGGGCTGCTATTAACATAAGCAACCGCCTCTTCTGGTGCGGCGACTGGGATCCTAGGTCCGGGATGTGGTGGGTGCGACGCGGCAGATGCCCCTCCGCCCGCCCGCCTCATCTCTCGGATGTAGAGCAGGTTGTTCGTGTGAACTCGAGCGAATGACTGGAGGTTGGCTGTTGTAGGTTCACTCCTTCAGGATGTGGGTTTCAGGGGGCGTTTTGATGTGATTTAATTCCGACCGTGAAACAATTGCTAGGGGCTGGCTGGATTGCTGTTGGTTTTCCCCCTCCTGGTGGCTATGGTTGGTTTGGGTTTAGTTTGGGAGCGAACTGGTTTTATATCAACACTTCCTTCTGTACCGGGCGCCGTCGCCCGCGCTGCGCCTGGGGGGCTAGGCGTTCCCCACCCTTCGCGCCGGAACAGAGGAGGGGGGAGCGGAGATGGGCCTCGCTCCCCACAGGGTAAGCGGAGCCCAGACCCCGCGGGAGGGGGCCAGGGGAATGAGGATAATGACCCCCCATCCACACCTGAAGACCCCTCCCCCCGGCGATTCTGTTGCCAAGTCAAGTCTACTACAGACGGCAGTCCACTGCGTCCTTAATTACAGCGACAAGAGAAAAGCACGGTCTTCCTCTCCGCCCCCACCGCGGTCCTAACCCCCCGCCCAGGCTCCGGGTCTTCCTGTTTGTGTGGCCTTGACTCTCCCAGCTACACCTTTGGTGGGATCTCAAAGGAATGAGGTGGTGCGGGCCTATGGAAGAGGATGCTCGAAAAGCAAGGGAGGACTACAAAACGAATAACGTGACCCCAGAGGCGGGACTCGATCTCCCACCCCAGCTTCACCAGGAGTCTAAGGCTGTGGGCATCGTCATTTTAACGGACTTCGCGGAAAGGGAGAGAAGAGGGATGTGGGGCCGAGGGAAATGGCAGTTTGTGTCCCAGGGGTTCTTCCGCATGTTCTTGCCTCCTCCTAACACAAACCAACCAACCCCCCACCCTGCGGGGTAACAGAGAACTCGTGGGACCGTGAAAATGTCGTTCCCAGATCCGGCCTCCGGCGGACGTCGGGCTTCCGCGGGGCCGGCGCCCGCTGCCGTCTGCCGCTTGGCGCAGCCCAGCGGGGCTCGAGCGAGCGGGGTCCTCCCGCCCCTCGCGCCCTCCCGTGGCTTCTGCCCTGCTCGGCGGGTGCGGGCCAAGCCCCGCGTTCGCGCCCCGCTGGGTAGAAGCTCGAGGCGCGGCCGTTTAGGGGACCGGGTCCTCCCCACGGTCCGCGAAGTAGGGCCACATGCCACCCAACTCTCGGTGGGCT